GCAATGGAAGCATCTCAGCATTGGCAGGGGTCTCCATGTGGCTCCTCCAGCTTAGGGCTCTGCCTCCATCAGTAGTAGCTCCATGTGGCTTTGTCAACAGGAATGTGTGTCCCGCCTCCAAGAGAGGAAGACATGAGTTCAGAATCCTCAGGAGAAGGCCATGCCCACACAGAGGCCTCATTGGCTATGACCTACCTGATTGACAGGCTAGACTCAACTCCTCCACAAATTGACAGGAGATTATATAACTGCCACAGGAGGATATCTTTGATGATATCAGAGAGGTCTTGGCTGGAAACATAGAATACCAAAAAGACATCTACTTGTGTTTTATTGACTATGTATGCAAAGGCATTCGACTGTATGAATCAAATTACAGCAGATAAAATTTCAAAGCATGAGAATTCAGAACACTTAATTATGTTCATGTTGAACATGTATTTAGACCCAGAGGCAGTTGTTGAAACAGAACAAGGAGATACTATATGGTTTAAAATCAGGCAAGATATGACTAAGGGTTGTATCCTTTCACTATAGTTAATCTCCATGCTGAACAAATAATGGAAGAAACTAGGCAATATGAAGAATAACTTGGCACCAAGATTGAGGATGGCCCATCCATTACCTGTGGCATGCAGATGACACAAACTTGCTTGCTGAAAGCACAAAGGATGTTAAGCACTTACTGCTGAACATCAAAGACTGCAGCCTTCTGCATTGATTGCACCCCCATGTAAAGAAAACCCAAATCCTCACAACTGGACAAATAGATGATATTATGGTACAAAGAGAGAAGATTGAAGTTGCCAATGATTTCATTTTACCTAACTCCACAGCCAATGCTCATGGAAGCAGCAGTCAAGAAATCAAATGAGCTATTGCATTGAGCAAATCTGACTAATTGGGCAAGCCTTTTTAAAGTGTTGAAGAGTGAAGATTTAACTTTTAGGATTAAGGTTTGCCTGACGCAAGCCAGGGTGTTTTCAATTGCCTCATGTGCATGTGGAAACTGGACAGTGAACAAGGAGTAGTGGAAGATAATGATGCATTTGAATGATGGCACTGCTAGAGAATATTGACAGTCCAAACCAATTTGTCCTAAAAGACGCACAGCAAGATGTTCCTTAGAAACGAGGACGCAAGATTTCATCTCACGTACGTTGGACATATTGTCAGGAGAGACCAGTCCCTTGTCTCTTGGTTATCAAAAAGGATTAAGACGCTTAAGGAGCTGGGTTGAACCAGTGGTTGCCCCACTGACCTCAAACAACAATTGTCACGATGGTCAAAACCTAGACATGCTCCGTTCTGTTGTACACAAGCTCCCTGGAGTCAGAACTGTTTCCACGGCAACTATCACAACCTAGACATGTTCCGTTCTGTTGTACATAGGCTCCCTGGAGTCAGAACTGTTTCCATGGCACCTATCAAACAAACAAAACACAGTGTGAAACTGGGTGTCAGCAATACTCTGCACCAAGAGCACCACTGCTTCAACCCGCCCAGAGGCTGTGGATGGGGTAAGGAAGATTTTTTAGTGTTTTAGTGAGAACATGCACAAGCAAACACTCATCCATTCACAATTCCTACATGAATAGCTCAACAACATTAGTTACACACCTCACATTTTGTTACCATTCTATTTCTAACCAGATTGTTTCATTCAGTATCCTGAATTTCGGCTCTCTGCCTCTTAAAGTTCCCGTCTGGTGTGAATTTACTCTCATCTAGATGCTTCTTTATAAAAGCGAAATGCTTGAGGAAAACATTTATTTTTTGTTTTTAATCATTTTATTGGGGGCTCATACAACTCTTATCACAATCCATACACACATCCATTGTGTCAAGCTCATTTGTATATTTGTTGCCATCATCATTCTCAAAACATTTTCTTTCTACTTGAGCCCTTGGTATCAG